TAATTGAAAAACTCTTCACACAGAGAGAAAATTGGCTTCAACATGTATCTCAAATGTTGCCAGGTAGGATACCTCATGCAGTTTTACAGTATCGACCATGAGGATGACGATGACGATGACCTGGACATCCACAAAAACGACTACTACACCCTGTCTTGCTGAGACCGAAACGGGTCAACATGGTCTAAATTCATAAATGGTGTATGATGATGATATGTTTTCCTTTCTACTTTGAAATTTTCCAGTGTTCATTTATTCATCTTCTAAGCATTCTTCTAATAACTTCCAATGTATTCCTTGTTTTTTCCCCTCTTATTGAAAATCAGAATTGATTATAAAATGGATATGATTGGATTTATATAAAGATATTGCTGACATATCTAAAATCCAGCACTGAATGCCAATTATAATTACTTCTTATTTTAACTTCTATCTCCTTTTATTATTTCTCAATAAATCAAATAAGTTATAATAACTAACAGCAATTCAATACTTTCTAAAGTGTTTCTTGTACAGTATTTTCTTCATTTCTGTATAATCCATTGATGATTTTAAACAGTATTTTTTCTAATAATAAATCAAATTATTTCAATCTCCAGTTTATTAACGTATGTCTAACTGCATACAATTGGTAATGATGTTAATAAAATATAAACATCTCCAAGCCCTATAGTTATATTAAAGCCAAATGATTGCCAGATTAGATCAGTAATATAGCAATTTAATCTGGCAATCATTTGGTTTTAATGTTGCCAATAATTACTTAATTCTATAATATATATACTGTATAATAAATGGATAAGTTCAATGATAATATACTGCAACTATAAAACATTTTTGTAAAATTCCTGGTAAGCCTAGCAATTCATAAATAATATAATACTAGCAGATATGATTAGCACAACCTGGGCAAAAAGTAAGAACAACAACAAATATTAAAATGAAAATCATATTAAGAGTTTGGTTATTTCAGCCTATCATTGTCATATTTATCGTAATACTCAAATGGTACAGAATGGCACAATTTCATTGATCAAGTAGACAGAAATTAATGTTTTCCAACAGAAAATAGTCATTGACTTTTTTGCCTGAATGAGAAGAAAATTTGAGACACAAAAATTTTTTCTAACATTAACTGTTAACATATCATTTGCGACCAAGTAAAAAATAGTAATTAACCAATCAATCTATTTTTGCAAAAAAATGGATCAAATATTTAAACTTGGCACTCTCTAAAACCTCTAAAAGCATATTTTGTGCTTGCTGGTAACCTTGTATTAAATAATTTTCCTATATCAATGCCACTGGTCAGATAGAAAAAGGAGCCTGTTGCAGGTGGTGTTGTAGTTAGTTCAAACAAAAAACTAGTCACTGACCTCCTGGATAAGAGGATTTCCTGAAAAGTTTGATTGCATTTACTGAAACTGTCAAACTATGTGAAGAAATATCTAACAATTTTTACTCTTTATATCTTACATATAAAATTTTCATCTATTATTATTTTTAATTTAAATAATAATAAATTTTCTTAGGTACATGTATTTTAATTGATTATAATTTAAATTGTTAAAAGTGTTAGGCCAACAAATGAAAAAAAAAATAAGCTACTGAATATATTAGAATTGAAAACATTATCATCAAATTACTATAACATAATGAATCATGTTGCATTTCTTATGAACTTACAAATATAGCAGATACTCACCAGCTTAATATAGAAGTCATTACTCATATAAAATACTAAACACTAATATTTGAGGCTTAGTTCTTCATCATCAAAAAAGTACAAAGTCAAACAATGAAGAACTATTAACCAATTCTTTTTTTGAACCAGTTTCTATAGAAATGTTTTCAAGCGCTTCTGCATTGGATTTATATAAAGATACTGCTGACATATCTAAACTCCAGCACTGAATGCCAATTATAAATGAGTAATTAATAAAATCTGTTAATTTAAATAATAATAATAATAATAATATAAAAATCAATGACAAATTTAAGGTATTTATATTCTTAAGTTTCAATTTAGGATACATTTTTTAAAGCAACAAAGTTACAATTAAAAAAATAAATGATTTACAAATTTGTTTCGCTTCTATGCAATAATTTGTAAATATCAAAGTCAAAATGGAGTGTTTCATTTTTTTCATCAATTTTGGTTGTTTCTTTTTTTAATAATTGATATACATAAATGACCAAATTTCTAATAAATGGGACTGTATCCTAAATCCCTACATCCAGAAAACATCTCAATGATAAATGGGCAATGGGCAATAATGCATTGTGTTGCAGCATTTTCTAAATCTAGATTTAAAAAGCATGCAATAATTAACTTTCAATATTGTGAAAGAAAATTTCTTAATTCCACCTTACAATAGCCACAGACCTAAAAGCAGCTATTGCAGATTGCTTAATGACTTCCATTCATCATAATAGAACAACATCCAAAATATAAATGGAAAAAATTTGAGATCTATATAGAGAATGGATAGATAAGTATCTATATAATTTCTAATCAGAATGCATAAAATTTCATAGTCATGTTTTACAAAAGCTAGGAGGACTAGAATTTCTAAAAATATAAACATCCATGAACCCAATTATTAGATTAAAGCCAAATGATTGCTGGATTATAGTGGGCTATATTAATGCTATTATTAATAATTAAATTAAAGGAGCATTAATATATCTCAATATAATCCTGCAATCATTTGGTTTAACCTAATAATCAGGTTTACAGTGTTTATATTTGTGTGTATATATATATATATATATATATATATATACACACACACACACACACCGTACTGAGGTAAAGTGATAGCCAGCTGTGAATAACCAGTATGGTTATATCTAAATTTAATAGTTCTGGTAGCAAATATCAGAGATGTGGATAGCATAACTGGTAATGCAACCACATGGTAAGTGGGAGCTGCAGGCAGGGCTGCGGAGTTAGTAAAAGAACACTCAACTCCAACTCCTAATAATTTTAGTAGGCTGACTCTTCTGATTTTAGTAGGCCAATCTCTTCTGCATATGCATTTCAGGTTGACATAAAATCTCAACCTCCATTCAGTGAACTTGTATATGTTTTTCTTGTAATGAATAACTATTGATGGAAATTTAGGTACAAGTAACATATTTATAATTATATACATCTTAATCCTGTGAAGATTGTTAGACAGTATATCTTAACAAATTTAATATTTTTCTTTATCTTGACTTGTTTATATTATATTTAAACAAGACAGATATCTACTTATTAACATTTAAAATATTCACATAAAAAAGGTAAAAAAAACTAAAAAATAAAAAACCATTAAGTATCAATTTCCATCTAATTGATTCTAGAAGAGAAAATTGATTAATAAATTGCACATTGTTAAACCAATGGATATTTATTTGGCTGTTTGAAATACTACAACTGATAATACAGGATTATAGAGTTAAAACTCAAGAATACAGTTACCCTACAATGAAGTAAAACTTGTTTATTGAATCAGTTTAAACTTTAAATAAACATCTTTCAGTGATATGAATAATATTACTTCTTATAAAAAATTAGTAAATTAAGTGCTAAATGTAGTTCCAGGACTGACTATTTGAATGAAAGAATTTGAGGAATGCCTTGAAAAACATCCGGATCAATTCAAGCAATTTTTATTATCATTTAAGAACCCCAATGTCAGGGGTACAAAAAAAAATCTATTAACAAATGTGAAGTTAAGATTTTATTTGAATAATGTAAACAAATCAATAACATTAATCAATCAAATTACAATTCATTTTACTAAATAAAAGAGTTTACAAAATAAACATTGCTTAATTGATACAAACAACAATTTGGTATATGATAACACAGATATATTTATTTACAATACATAACCATTTTCTTCTTTCCTTTTCAGTCTTTCACACTCAAAAATTAGGTATGAGAAAGAATTTTCACTACTACCACAAAAAATAATAATAAAGATAAATTTTTGATTTTTTATAATTCAACTGGATTTTACACAAGTCTTAATTGTAACAAAATTGATAAATAATTAGGAAAAAATGCTAAATTCAGCCAAAACAAATTTCTTATTTAGAAACATTTTCATTCTCTTAAAAGAACCTTTTAAGAAAATGAAAACGTTTCTAAATAAAACAAAAATCTTTTGGCTCCTGAATTTAGCATTTTTTCCGACTAATTTGATTACAGTGCCAAACACAAATGTCTTTTTTCCTATTGATTGGTAAATAAATTTTACTTAACTTATAACACTTATAATGTATCTCAATCTGAGCCATCAAACAATACCTAAAGAAGAACTTAGAATTCTTTGACAATTAGTATTACAAATTTCTAAGTTTTACCATTGATATTATTATATGATAACATATAAAATAATATTCAGAAATTATTATTTCACATTCCATTCTTCTACAACAGTTCGTAAATAAAACTCAAACAATTCCGGCAGAAAACATCCAGGTCGTCATGTAGTCATTTACCAGAAAGATAGAAGATAAAACACTCGAAATAGAACAAAAAAAAAAAAAATGCATCTGTTTACATTAAGCAAAATCCAATATAAGCACTGATATACTGTTTGACATTTCAATCAGATAAAGTTAATATTTAATTTTAAAAGGAATATACACTGTATTGCTATTATTAACATAGCAACTAATATGTTTAGTTAGTGTGTTGCAGTATTGTAAAAGAGTTAAAAATAAACATTCTAAAAACAATTCTCATTTTGTAATAAAAATTTAAAAATAAAAACATGTTGTTCAGCTTTATTCTATAGTTATTAAGATATTAAATAAGGTTATCAAATCAACAAATCAATTGAAAAATATAAAATATAAACAACGTATGTAATTTTATTGCTTATACTTCCATTGACATTTGATTATCGGCCATATTTTTATGTCATTCTCTTCTCTTTCTATCTGTTGATAGGATGCGGGGGATGAGAAGAGGGAGAAAAATTAATTAATCAATTACTCACGTCATCTACGCATAGTTGAGACTTCTTGGAACTCAGTAAGAATATCAGTAAAAGAAGAATGCAGAGCGTAAATATCCCCACCAAACTAATAAATCCGATCAGGGAAACCATTTCATCTTCTCGTCACGGATCCACAAGTTGCATCTGATCTAACTCCGCATCGTACACTAACGTTTACTTCGTACATCCACCGCTAGGGTGATTTTTGACTTATTGCAAAATCGAATTTCTGTAAAGTATTTTATGGATTATTAATAAATTAATACATTTAACGATTCGTTGTATAAAAATAAATTATATATGGAGGATGTGGAGGACATTTATCGTCTTGTTTCGCGTCACGTGACCTTACAGCTGTGGGAGATCGAATGGTTCGAAATGGGTTTGAAATGTGGATCTTCGGTTATGGATCCTTGATGTGGAAAGTGGATTTTCCTTTCGAAAGGAACGAGATCGGATATATCAAAGGTTATTTGAGAAGATTCTGGCAAGGGAGCGAAGATCATCGCGGCGTGCCAGGAAAGGTTATTGCTGTTTTATTTTAGTTTCTTATTTTTCCATTAATAATTCTATTAAATTAAATCGATTTTTAAAATTAGTTCCTTTATTTTTAGCCTGGAAGAGTTGTAACTTTAATTTCATCTCCAGATCCTGAGGTAATTTATATTTATTGTACTGTATATAATTAAGAAAATTGTGTTAATGCTTATTATAAATATATATTTTGGTATATATTTTTTCTACATAAAGTACAGTATACTGTATATATTGTATACAAAAATATATAGGTCAACAAATCATAAGCATATATAGAAAATGCATTAAATAATTGAGTAGATTGTCTCCAACATGTACTAGTTCTACTGTATTTATGAATATTACATATCATTTCAAATGGATTCCTATTTTTTTATTGCCATTTCAAATATAACATAAAAAGTATAACAATAAGAAAAGGATGAATAATCAAAATATAATTTTAAAAATTTTATTATATAAAACCAGCATGAATATATTATATATATATATAATATCTATATACCTTTTTTCTTTGAAATAATTTGCAATTGGATAAATTGTTCCTTTTTTAGAGCAGTGTATCAGAATTACAGGATCAGCTTGACAACAGTTTTCATGGGGCTGTGGAAATTCTAGTAATGCTAATGGGATAAACATTAGATTGAGAGTTTTTTGGGGTGTGTTTCATTGTAAAGCACATTTAATACAGTTGATAAACAACTTGACATAACCTGACTCAATTCAAGCAGATTGTCGTTGCTTATCCAGTCACTTTACCAGGCAGTAAGCCTATAATTTGTATTTTTACTATGGTTCATTACTATATACCCCTTCTCCCATCTACAAACCTAAATTATTTACATTTAATATTTTTTATGAATTTCTGTGATATTTAAATTGATATATTTTCCTTTAAATTCCATTTTTATTTTTGACTGTTTCCTCTAATGCTATCCTGTGAAAACTATTAATAAAAAGAATAATTTTTATCCAATTTTAATGATTTCAAAAAAATATAAAAATAGAAAATACTCATTTGAATAAATTTTATATCTTCCAATTAGTTTTTGAATTACTGTATTTCTTTTGTATAAAAAGTATTCTTTAAATTTTATATTATTTTACATAGCCTACTTCGATTACATATTTTCATAATTACTGTAGTGTCTGTTGGAAAAATGCCAGAATTCAAATAAAATATTCAATATTCGAAAGACTGCAGAGAAAGTATCATAAAAAATGAAAATATTTTAATAAAATTTTATATATAATTAAATATTTTAATAAAGTTTATATTAGGTTTGAAATTATTTAAAGCTTATAGAATATAAATTAAATAAATGTATTAATTATTGTTTATGTATCACTTATTACATTTACATTTACAATACTTTTTACAAAATCCATTTTGTGGAAAGTATTTTGTTGCAACAATTTAAAAGTATTGCTTCTTATATTTAAATTTGAAGTTAGAACTGACAAATGTACCAAATAAAAGATTTTATTTGGATAGCACATTTTATATTTAATTATTCTATTATTTAAAAGTTACATTTAAATATTTTATTGTCTTGATTTGACTTAAATAATATTCTAAATTGTTTATCATTCTAATAATCCATGAAGGATGGTTATACTTTAATTTAAAATTAATTTTAATGTATAAATCAAAGCCATTTGTATAATCAATAAATCATGTATTGATAATGTATTAGTAGCCAAGTGGATAAAACTGTAGTTAGTTATGGGTTTGTGCCTGACCAACGGTGTAGTTTTCCAGCTGTGTCTAACATTTAAGCAGAATTAACAAGATTAACTATTTATTCACCAGTGTTGTTAGATTGTAGGAAACAAAAATTGCATTTACGTATGTAAAAAATCCTTCATACACTAAAATACCTCTCATTACAAATTCAGAAAGAAGCCAGCCAGAAAAATTAATGTGCGAAATATCAAGCCCTAATATAGAAAACCATGTAAATTTTAAATTACAACCAAGTACTTTTACACGTGTCGCCACGTGTTAAATTAATGCCTTTTTACAGACATCACGTGTTAATAATGATCTAATAAAGTGCTCTTTCGTCGTAAGACGTAATATTGTCATTGTCGATTATTGTTTTCTCTGTTGGGAAGGACTAAGGTGCACGTTCACAAGAGGAGCTTTTAAATTTTAATATGTCGCATTTGTTCAGCCGTACTCGTACCATATTAACATTATTAATTTAACCGAAATCAACGTTTGCGTATTTGCATTTCTTTCTTTGGGGCTTAAAATAGTTATTCTAAAAATTCCCTCGTTTTCGGATTTTTTCGAAGAAAATCCCATACTCCGAGGGATTAATCCCTCAATCTGACCACACTCATTCACATTATGAAATTAAAACAACTTTGTTTTGCGTAGACTCGAGCTGTTGCGCTCGACATTACATTTTGAATAAAATTAAATTTTTGCTTATTTTCGAAAAATCATCATAACTTAATTAAATTAGTTTAAACTGCAGTTTCTATCACTGCCAATATCCAATTTTTCAGCTGAGAGAGTTTTCTCTGCTGTTAATTATCTAAAGTGTGAAGAAACAAAATGGATTTACCAATGCTAAAGGCTTTGCAGTGCATTAGATTTTTTTTATTATCCAGAAATTTCAAATTATCTGATTTTATTATTCCAGAAAATATTTTACATAAAGTTAAAACCAGTGTTTGTCAATAGTAGCCTGTACAATTTTTTAATTTTCATAATAAAATAATTTTCAATTTGGTGCAGCACCACTACTTTAATATTGTGCTGCATACAAAATATTTTTATTTTGTTGTCATTAAAATTAACAGCAGCGTTTTTTCCAACTTTTATTTATATATATATATTTTTTTATTTTTGACTGATATTTTTATTTGGATACTTTTTGGCTTCTTTATTTGACGTTGATGCCACTGGTCACAAAGTTGTGGCAACCTGCCTGTTTGAGAGACCCGGGATCGATGCAGGTGGGGTGGTTCGTCTGGATTCGTGTCCAGACCCTCACCACTTGACATCCACATTGTGGGCCTGGCCGAATTTATAATGGGCTTTCTAAAAAAAGACCCTCTTAGTGCCGTGCCAACAAAGAGCCGAGTGGATAAAACCATCAAATACTGTACTGATAGTCGGTCGCGCCTGGCCAACGGCCAGGATACGTGGAGTTTTCCGGGTTTTTTCTCACCTTAGTAACCCCTAAATAATGGCCAATTTCACATAAAAGACCTCCTGGGAGGTATTGCCCACGTGTCACGTTGCCATAAACAGATCAAATCCTCTTAGTGACCACATGGCGGAAAGAGTTTTTTGAAAAATGCCTAGGGAATACTCTAGGCATTCCTCTGAAAGGCATTCCTCACCTCTGAAAGATGGCAATCTTTCAGAGGTGTTGTGCCGAACTTAAGTTATAATGTTATTTTTGGTGCCGACATGATTACTAATTTTATTATATATAGTTTCAAAATTGGTCCGGTTATAATGGACTTCAAAAATTAATAATTAAAATTTAATTTTACTCGTTTCTGTTCAGAGTACCACTGAAAATCGTCCCGCATGCCACGTTTGGCACGCATGCTATAGGTTGCCGATCCCTGCTCTAGAACAATTACATTGTATTTCTTAAACACTTACAATACCTGTTTATAAATCATTTTTATTGTATTTTATAGCCAAAAAATATAAAGTAATATTTTTATTTCTTGTAATTTCGATTGACTAAGATATGTTTTACATGAAAAATGTATGTAAATGATATGTTTCATTGATTACGAATTCGAATAAACTTATTCACATTTTTTTTTCTTAGTCACGTGTATGGGGAGTTGCATACAAGATATCAGCCGAAGATGCAGAATATGTCAAAGCTCATTTGGATTTTCGTGAAAAGGGCGGTTACGAAAAAGTCAACGTGACGTTCTTTCCGAAGGACAGAAATGTAGAATCATTCGATCTCACAATATACGTCGGCAACGAAAATAACCCTTATTTTTTGGGTCCCGCACCGATTCACGAAATGGCACGACAGATTTACGAAAGCGAAGGCCCGAGCGGTAAAAATACCGAATATTTATTTAATTTAGCCGAAACGATGAGAAAATTGATACCAGAAGCGAACGACGATCATCTATTCGAATTGGATGTAGAAGTTAAGAAACTCGTAAACAAATATAAATACAAATTTAAGTGAATGTAACCATATCGCCGGATCTACTTTTACTTATTAAAATTTGGGATTTTAATTTCTTAATATATTTTTTTTGTTTTTACATCTTCAACTTCTGAATTTTTAATGTTCGTCCATTTCTTTAAACGGGTGATTGTGCAGGAATCATCGAAAATTTTTATTATTAAATATGATTTTTATTTTGTTTCTCCATATTTTAAAGCTTTATGGATTCTTGGATGAAGTGCAAATATAAAACATATACCCACTCGTTTTCATTGTATCGTTTTTTATACACTCTCGTTAATTAAGCCCTCTGGTAGCCGAATGGATAAAACCACTAAACATTAATGTTGCGGATTCGCGCCCGATCGAGCTGACCATATGGGTTTTTTTCGCTTGATTAATATCTAACTAGGGGATACTTTCCCATGGTCCTCCCGGATGGCATCTCCCTTTGGTGGATCGTCCATGTGTTGCGTTGCGTTTCTCGTTAATTAAACTATGTTTTATGTATCAAAAATTATTGTAATTCAGTCTTGTATGCAGCATTGATTAATTAAATAACGAAATAATTATTTCCTTAAGAAAATCATGGAAAAATAGATTGGATTATACAATAACGACTCACTGGTATACAATAGTAACGGAAGATATTCGGTGAAATTTAATATTGCACCCTTGACATTATAGAAGAAGCTTTATAGAAACAGTTTACATTCAAAATAGTTTATATTAGAAAGCAGATTTGTATACAGTTGGTGCTCTGTCAGGCAACGCGCTCAACATTTTTAATTTCCGAGTAAGGCAATATAATTTCATCAAACATTGCATGCTATTCTAAAGGGAACAATGGCCAATAAACTTAAAACTTGCCGAAAGCGTCAATCTCTGGAGATATGTGCGCAAGTTCAAGATGAAAACCAACATGCGAGTTCACTACCAAATGATTCGTCTGCTGGTCGTTTCACTCAACAACTCTCGTTATGGAAAAATGTCAGTCGATCCGAAAAGCGGACTCGTTGCGTGCCATTACAAAAGGGATTAGAAGTAAATATCTAACAATATTGTAAAATAACTCGTGATGCAACTATTCGGTTACTATTCGGCCTATTTTTCGCTATTCGGCCGAATACAGTGGTGCCTCGTATAACGTACTTAATCCGTTCCAGGTGCACGTCCGTTAAGTGAAAAGTCCATTATACGAACTGCATTTTTCCATAGAAATACATGTTAAAACATATAATTCGTTCTGCAGCATAAAATAACCGTACTGTACCATAAAAAGAATGAAAATGGAACAGTCACCAATTACTGTATGCCAGGTAGTCAGATGTTGTGAGGAGGACGTGGAGGAACACTTTCTTCATACAGATACAGACTTTTTACACATTGCAGCGGGTCTCTTTTTATTGATTTTTAATCGGAGTTAGATTTAGAAGAGGCTACAGGGGCTTGCAGGGTCAACTCCTCTTGTTCCATCCTTTGTTTTTTGGCAGCTGGCTTCTTGAAAAACATGTCCAAGGTGGTCTGTTTCTCTCTCTTCTTCAAAACCTGTCGGAAATGACGGGCAAGGGTGTCATTGTAGAGATCATTGATCCTGTTGACCTCAGCTCTGGATAATGAGTGTTGGTAAAGTCCTGAACCTCTCCCCATTTGACAAGGAAGTTTTTGTCAACTTTCACTCCTTCTGATGATCTTTCAATTCTGATTGCTTTGTTTCAATTGAAATCACCTTTCTGTTTATTTAGAAGCCATGATTTTCACAACACTTGAATAAATGTAAATACCCTGCACTGAGGTGATGTACGCAATAAACAAGGGAACAAGCCGAATCCCAACGGGAGCTTTGTACTTCAGATATACTAATAATATATTCTAATAATGCTAATATATTATAAAAATAGCAGATTGTCATTGGCAACGGCGAAAGTTTGGAAACATTATTCGCACTTGTTCGCAGAAAGACCGTTGTTTGCCTCACGTAACTGCCGAAAGGAAAGTCCGTTGTTCGCAGCGTCCGTTATTCGAGGCGTACGTTATACGAGGCACCACTGTACTGTACCTATAAACAGGAGTAAGAAATAACAAAAATACACTTTTATCCACTTTTAAATCCTTTATTTACAAGTGCCTCGACACCGCTAGGCATAGCCGAGGTAAGAATACATAAATGTTACAGATGTAACAGGTCATTTTGTAATACAAATTTTCATAGAGTATAAAATGATACACAATATACATGAAAACATATGAACAAACAATAAACATCAATAACAATATTTACAATCATTACAGGCCGTAACAAAAATACAGTAAATTAATCATTTTGGTATTTAGATTTAATGTTATCGGGTTTGTGTTGTTTCTTTATATTTATTTACTAGCAGACCCCGCCGCGCCTTGTTGTGGCTCAAAATGTATCTATTATAAATGTATAACACTTCCCCCGTGGGGAAAAATTTTTCGAAAAATTTTTTATTAGTGTACATTCTGTTGACGTACTCTATGAAAACGCAATCAAAAACGCAAAAAACCGCATCTAAAATAGTATAATAGAAGTGAAGTTCTTCACAGTAAGCCTTAATCCTGTCCCTCTCCCCCCGGGGGAATATCGAAAAATCCCTTCTTAGTGTACATTCTGTTGACGTACTCTATTAAAATGCAATCAAAAATGCAAAAAAACAGCATCTAAAATAGTATAAATAGAAGCAGAGTTCTTTACGGTAAGCCTTCCCCGTAAGGCTTACCGTAAAGAACTGTCCATCCCCCATGTTTAACGGAATAATATACAGCCTATGTCCATCCTGAAGTTCCATTCTAAATATTGGTGAAAAAATTTTTGAAATCGGATGAGTAGTTTTGGAGATTACCTGCTGCATCCAAACTTACATACAAACATTACCTCTTTATAATATTAGTATAGATATAGATAACTTATAACCTGCACAAAATAAAAAAACAAAATAATATTAGTCACATGTATTCACAATTTAGGGCCCACCAGTGGCCGAGTGGTCTTCGTACCCTAAACACTGGGAGTTCGGTCGTGGGTTCGCGCCGCGATCGGACAGCCTGGCTGCTTGGAGTTTTCCGGGTTTTCTCCTTGCCAATAACGACTAAATAGGAGGCCAGTTCCCCATAAAAGTCCTCCCGGAAGGCATTAGTTCCCCTCGCGTAACATCGCGCCCTAGAGAAGGCAACGGGAAACACTCTGGGTACTAACTTTCCCTAGTAACGCCTTGGCGTATTTACTAACTAACTTTACTAATTTATATTCTGCGCCGGGTGTGGCCGAGGTCGGGAAAACCTGATATGGCACTATGAGATGAGATTCACAATATATAATTACAAAGATCAGCACACGTACACACCTATTCGTTCGAGAATCGTCGCACATCTGAGGATCTGACCCTGCCTATCCTTTTTAAGCGCTCGTCTATGCTCTTCCCGTTGTCTTTCATCTATCGCTCTAGTCCACGTATGCCTATGCATACCGTACACCATAATGTGCGCGCACGATACTTTCGATTTGTCACTTTACCGTCGTAGATTTCCCATTTTACAATTACGTGACTCATAGCCTGGTGATAACGGAGAAAAGAGACAGATAGGACGTCGGTAAAAGTCACAGTTATGATTTCACAGATTCGAGACAGCTTGGTAGCCTGAACGACCCCAGGCTTTCACCCATACATGCTAAGTGACTTTCATTACAAGCATTTAGCTTTCCGAAGTCTGTGAGAACAATTATTTGGCATTGACGGCTGCAAATTTTGCATCAATAAGCTGCCTCCACTTGTTCAATTATGTTATCAACTCAATTTCATATTTATTTTCACATTTTCACTTCGCGGTCCTTCTCTGTTCTTTTTCCGTTATTTACACGTGTAGATAATTTTATTGTTATCCACATTTGATATCATCACTTATCACGGCCCAATTCGCAACTTCACCATAGCTATGTTTTATTTCTGCCGAGATGTTTAGTCATGGCTATATATCAACTATTCTACGATTCTAGAAGTAATAATCATTGTTCCTCCATTTGCACAATCTTTACATTTTGCATGACACTCTTGTCTGTCCGCTACAACTGTCAATAATTAACGCGATTGGCGAAGCGTAGTGACAGCAGGCCAATAGAGAGCAGGATCCTTCCATAATGCGGTTTGCGCGCCAATTTTCGTACGTGCGTTAATCAAGCCGAATAGTTTAGCCGCATATTCGGCTATTCGGCCACGCTCCTGGCCGAATATTCGGTATTCGGCCTGAGGTCGAATACTGTATACTATTCGTTGCAACACTAAAAATAATCCTAAAATATCTGGCCAACCAGTGTCCGAGTGTGGGGGCCGAGGGGGGAGAAAAATTAAAAATCTCGATGAACAATAATAGGTGATATATATCGTCATCGTCTCCCTTGCCGTTTGGATTGCCGAGCGGTAACAATCAACGACATGTGGAAGCAGTTGAGCCAGAGATAGATGCCTCATTTACAAACAACACAACCGTTTATTAAACACGAAAGAAGCTTACAAGATTTCCGCGATCTTGGAAGTTCTGCAGCAGTTGCGGCCTCTGGGTCTTCCTCTCCTGTGGTTCCATGATAGTCCCATTTTGAAGGAGTGTCCCTTGTTCGAGAATGAACAATTCCATTACGTCTGGATGACACCGGGACGATGCGGTCGACTTCCGTTGATGGAAAGATGTCGATCCGAGGTCTGGAGATGGAGACGAAGATGGGTGCGAGACACACACACACAACAACAGATCCTTCACTTGGAACTTTCGGGAGAAGAAGCCGTCGCGTCCTCGAATTTCCGGGGTTTTATCTGTTTTCTTTCAGATTCCCCTTTCCGATTGGTCTCCCGTCGTCACCTGATGACAATTCGAAACCTTTCGGGGACGCGGGAGAGGTCAAAATCGAAGTTTAATTCAATCTCCAACCAGAAATGGTCGATGGACTTACTTTCTTCTATTGTTTAAAAGTCTTCTATTGTCTAGCGTCGAGTTTTCATAAAATAAAAAGCTATTTCTAACTAATATATTATTTTCTCTAAAACCATTATTTTCCGCGAATTTTAGCGAGGGTTCGGACCTGTCCAGAGCCTCACANGCACGTTAATCTTGTTTCAAATCAACATTATAATTGTTCTTTTGTTTGAAACAAGTTTTCCAAACTTGACATTTTAACTTTGTTAATCTTCCATCTCGTACTTCTTACAGAAAACTAAAATCTTCTATAAAGAAATAGCAGTGTTGTTAATTAAGGATATCTTTTGCCATCTTAGAAATGAGGACTGCAGAACAGAAGAGCGGAAACAAGTGGCATATATTGGAAGCATCCTCGTAAAATTAAACTGATGGCAAAAGAACAGGCAGAGTCAGCAGAACGTATTCATGCAAATAAAAACCTACAGCTAGGATTTAAAATGCCCAAAAAAATGTTCTACCAAAATAGCAAAATAAAGGACGCAAAGGGTCTGACTTTGTCAGAAAGTGTAAAACGGGAAGGAAAAGATCATTAAAGACAGTTTGGATGTAGTTAATTGAATTGAAAGTTGTTTATCCTAATTTTTAATTGAGTAATTTCATAATGTATAAAGTTCTTTTAAAGTATTTGCCAAATTATTAGAGGGGTTGCGGCCGACGTTTTCATCGCGAAAACGTCGGCCGCAACCTCTCTAATAATGAAAGTAATAAAGTTAAGTTATGGCAGTCACGAGTAACCCAAGGCCCTAATATGTGGCCCCTGGACTTTGTCAACGTGATTCTATTTCTCCGTCTTTTGCCTTGTGCGATTATGCAACCTCTACTTAAGTTGATATTCGTGACAAGGAACATTCGAACTGTACTTGACCGGTAAAAAGGTGAGAATAAATTAAATGCCACTATAATTATAATTTGAAACACTTGTAGAATCTTGAATATACTTTTTATTGTTAAAATAATCTCTTATAGACTAAAATTTATATTAAAATTTGTTTAAATGCACGTTATGTAGCAGGAATTGAAATCGAAACAGACTAAACATAAATCAATTTTGTTTTTTAAAAATGGCAGATTAATTTGTAATAAAGTTCATAAAATCAGTTGATTTTTCCATTTGGCTTGCAATTTTTGAATGAAATCCCAGTAATTAATATATCCTCTATCGTCTTTTTCCAGTTCGATCATCTTTTCGATATTTTTTTCGTTTATTTTACTCCAAACGGTCTTCATGACGTAACGAAGTTCAATGGCGCTGATCGTCCCATTATTCACTTTTTCGTATATTCTGAAAGCATCCTTTATTTCGTCATCGAAATCGTTACTTTTAATTTTTATCGACAGTAAATGTAAGAGTTTAGGAAAATCGATTCTTCCGTTTGGTGTCTGTTGCACTTCTTTGATCATCTTTCTCAATTCTTCGTCCTCCAGTCTGATGGATGCGGCTTTCATAATATCTCTTAAGTTCTTTATGGATAACGTTTCGTCTGTCTGATCACTGAATAGTGAAACGTTTGTTTTTTGAATTTCGACGGACATGATTTTAAAGATCAATATTGTTTGTATAATAATTGTTATAACAATAAAGTCGCAACAAATATTTTTGTGCGCTTTAAACATTTAAATTCTATTGTTTTGATTTTATCCGATTTCAATTTAATTTCGAAACTTTCATTGTGGGACGAGCCCTACGTTTTGACTTTAAGACATGTCTTTCCTCTGTTCAAACACGCGCTTAATGTTTTTCTTTTCGGAACAATTTACTTTCCATTCGTAATTTGTTTTCATTTGGTGAACCTATGAGGTAGTGGTGTTTTTTTAACTCTTTCCGCCCTGTGGACACTAAGAGGGCCTCTTTAAGGAAGCCCATTATGGGTTCGGCCAGGCCCACAATGGGGCGGCCGGGTGGTGAGGGATAAGGCCTGACATATCCTAACGGACCACCCCCGAAAAATTGAAGATTTTTCGACCGGTCCGGCTTCGATCCCTCTTTTTTTCGTCGATTTTTTCCATTGGTAAAATACTCTTGGAGAAATTGAAGAAAAAATTTCTTTGGGACTTTCAACAGGTGTAGGTTGATATCTCGGCCCTTCACCGATTTCGGGTAGAGTTGCCAAATTTTTGTTTCTAATCCGCTCTTTAGGAATATTTATTTTTTTAAATTCTTCATAAAATTCATTAAAACTAACCGGGGCTAATGGCGTTTTTCTATTTCTTATTAAATATGATATTAAGTATACCATATGATTTCCTAAAACAGGCTTACCACGAATTGTTAATTCACCTTTTACGTTTCATCCGTAATGATTTTGTCTCAGTTTGTCGATTATATGCGGAATGTATTTTCGATATAACTGCGGGACAAATATAGTTATTTGTTTAATACATCCCCGCCGTTGCCATCATTATCATCATTACCGGTTTTTTTTGGGGTCGAGAAGATGCTTCTTGAATTTCGTCTGGTACGACAAATACTCTGACCGGTTCTTTTGACTCAAGAACTGTTCTCTGATATCTCGAAACAAATTGACTTATTAATTTGACTTTACTATCGTCGGATAAATCGGTACTCTCGAGAAATTCTTCGATATTTTTACCAATTCTTATTTCAGGTTTTTGATATGCTGCTAACAATTCGGGAGGAACCAAGGACTATATACTACAAGGATAGCCAGATCCCTATTCTACAATGTTAGCCAGGAATGCCAAGTTAGTGACGTTAGCACGTGACCTGACATCTCTGTTTACATGGAGCAGGGTGTGCACGTGTTTAGTTTTCGCTTTTAATATTCGTCCAATTTTGTGATTAACGAAGTGATTTATTTTAATATTTCTGTAATTGTTTTATTTGACTAAGTTTTTTATAAGGTAAGATGATTTAAATATAAGTCATTAAATATTTAAAGCTATATTTTTATGTTAGGTGAAGAACAAAATGCTGAGTACTAGGTGTGCTGTGTATGGTTGCAATAATAACCTTCTTTTTTCAAATTGGAAGCAACCTGTTTACATCGGGTTTGATCAAAAAATGACAAGAGAAATACTTTTAAAATTAATAGCAGAACTTTATTTACTATCGTATAATGTAGTAGCTTGCGTCAGTGACTGTAGTTGCAGTAACATAAGTTTATGGAAAGAATTGAATGTGAATATCAATGAAACGTTTATTATGAATCAATTATTATTATCAATGAAACGTATATTAGAGATATAAATATGTGGTTCGACATTTTTAATAGCTATGCACCAAAAGGTTCTGTTCCAAGCAAAAATGGATATGGTGTAGACTTGGAATTACAAGAAGAACATTTAAATAAAATGATAAAAATAATCTCAACAATGAGAGCAAGTGGAAAAAATGCCCTCCAAATTTTCCAGAAAGGAATGATAATCTCAATGAAATCGCTAATTGATCTTTTTCAAGATATGAAATCGACTTTTGATATAAAATACATCTGCACTCACAATTTAAATCAAGATTGTCTGGAAAACTTTTTTTTTTAAAATAGAAGCCGGGGTCCTAATGAACATCCAAGCCCATTAAATGCTATATATAGGATTAGATTGATTATTTTAGGTAAGAATCCTGGTATTTTAGAGTCAAAAGTAAATACTACAGATCGAAGACAAGAGGAATATATTATACCCAAAGTTTTAGAGAAAGCACATGTAGAAGTATCAAGTGAAAATACAGACCAATATACTGAATGTAAAACTACTTTTTCTTCAAATAAATCTTCAGGAAACTCTACATGCAATCTAGACTTTAACACAATCTCTGAAGAAACTTCCTACGATGCTCTCGAGTATATAGCAGGATATTTTGCCTATAAATATAAAGAAAAATACCCAAACTTAATTAATTCCACTAACAAAATTAAAAATCATTACAACTATAGCATTCCGTCATGGGTGCAACATTTATCTTATGGAGGGCTTATTAAACCTACTGATGAATGGCTAGCAAAAATTATAGAATGGAATAAATATTTCGAAATATATCACGATGAATCGTATAAAAAAGGCCCCGGAGTTGTACAGAATTAGTCAGTGGAAACAGTTTTACCTTTTACTTTAATAAAAGATTTTTGTAAATTAAGAACTATAATAAGAATTAATTATAGAAATCTTAAACAAGAAAACTATAAAATATTGAAAAGAATGCCTTCTGAAAATGGTGATTGTCGAAAAAAAATTAAAAAGTTAAGTAAGATAATCACATAATAAAAAATATAGCTCATTAATTTGTTAAATAAATATTAGACAAAAGACTTGTAAATTTATTGACGTACAGTACACTTATTAAATCCGAAAATTCTACAGTAGTTTACATTTAGTAGTAATTTAATAATTAATTAAGAAATGATTTAATATTTTATCGTATTTTGTTATTTGAAAGATCTGTCATGTTGAAGTAGAGGGCTTGCTGTGACGTCACATAGATCCAAGGTCACGCTAACAAATATACGGGATTTGGCTATCCTTGTAGTTTAAAGTCCTTGGTTTTTAATTATGGTGATTTTTCCATGTGACCTTGGTCAAGGTCATAGAATACAAGGTAGTCTCATGTGGAAGATACCATTGTCATTGTTGCTTATTGCGTCATTAAGCCAAAACATCTGGCTAAGGGTCCCAGAATCCAGGCTGACTTACGGTCAACACTCAGGCATATTGAAAGTTTAATGGACCTCTGTTAAAACATACAAAGCTATTACAGTGGTACCTCGGTTTTCGTCGATAATCCGTCCGAAAACAATTGGAGAAATCCAAGGCATATATTTCCATATGAATCAATGTAAATCCAATTAATTCATTCTAGCCACTCCAAAATACATATCAAAAACACATTTTACAGAGAATAAATATAGTGTTTAATATTATCTATATACAGTGATACCCCGATCTTACGCGATAGGTGGGACCGAGCGATAACCGCGTAAGTCGGGGTATCATTTCGCAATTTGTGTAAAATTCAAGTCGGATGTATGTAAGCTGATAAATGTGCTCGTTAATCTTATTTCGTCTTTTCATTCGTTCACGGTTAGAAAAAATCACCACATAGTCTCTCAAGTCTTCGTAGATATAACAAACACAGAAATAAATAACACAAAATAAATTGTAGCTATGCGTCGATTCCGCGCGACACGTCTGAACATGTAAGCCGAACAATAGTGTGGGTGCAGAGCAAGTAATCGAGAGTGGCTTGGAGCTCAAACAAAAGACAAATCGACGAGATTTGAAAATCGCGTAACTCCGGTTTCGCGTAAGTCGGGGTAGCGTAAGTCCAGGTATTACTGTATATAAAAATGAATGTATGTCTGTCTGTCTGTGTGTCCTTCATGCATTACCACACCGTTTATCCGATTGCCATGAAACTTTGGGAAGTTGTTTAATATACTCCAGCGAAGGTTTGTGGCATAGTACGATTGCCATNTTTCAAATCAAATACAGATTATTTTTTTATTGCGGTTGGTGCAAGTTTGGTTTCAATTTTATGAAACATAGCAATGCAATTCTTTGTCTATATTACTTCATAGATCTATTCATGGATTAACAAACAAATGAAACAATATATAAATGTACATTGGAAATAAAGTCAGAAAATCTACTTTAAAGTTGGTATTAATTTATATAAAAATTTTAGTGTGTGTGTGATAGTGTTCCACTACTTCCACTTTTTCCACTGCTAGTGGAAAAAACATTTATGATGTTACATTGTTATTGTCAGACTTTCTTTACCACTGGTAGAGAACATTTATGACACCATTATTTATATTTATATGAAAAATATATATTCCTTTCTAATCAATCAAAGAAGCATAATGCATGTATGTTGAGTCAGGAATGGAGACAGTAGTTAATATCACAGCAAAGTATTTCAGTTTAGTTTTTAAGCTACTTAACACATTTATGAAATAATACCTTGGAGAGACTGAGGAAGAGAAGCTATTAAATGCTGCACCCCACACCTTTACACCATTTCTACTACCTTTTTAGAATGCAGAAAAAGTCAATCCACTTTTACCATAAAGACATCATCTACCACATCAATGGATCTAGTGAAGAATTATTAAACAGGCTCTTATTGCAGAAACATAAATTTCGTAATCAATAACATTTGAAAACAGAGAGCTCAAATTAATGATTTCCTGGATCTACCACGAGTTCACTTATTCTCAATTCTAAAATTAAATTATTTTCACTCTTAATTACTTATAGTGAATGATAAAAGATTTCTAAAAATAATGTGTTATTTAAACAGCATTATTTACAAACGTTCAACATTAACAAATGTAAGAAAGGTTTATGGTAAGATGCGAACTTGGAATGAGGAACTATACCTGAACATCTCGCAAGATATTCATCTCCAAAAGTCAGTTTTTACCACGAACTAGTATACTGCCTATTCTCCATGCCCTGCATCAATCAAGCTGAGCGATAGTGAACCTTGACCGATGCTTTGCCCGTACCATACCGACACTCCACATATACCAAAGTACACAAAACTCCGCACTTTGGTATGGTAGAGGCATGGTTCCATTGATTTTTTTGCTCCTGTGGGTCTGATAATGTTCCAACCATATCATTCTGTGTGTAATTGTATCAGGTTTACAATACTTTGTATA